GTCGTGTAGTAGATGGATTGGTGCAGGCAATGTGGATAAGGCCTGAATATCTTGCTGAAAGGCAACAGGTCCCTTGAAACCTCCAGGTCAGTCCTGTCAAGAAAGAAAGAGAAGTGAACAGGATTTCACACATGGAAATTAACTGATTTCTTGCTGTTCTAGGGCCAGGTTCAGCTCCACTGTTCTGCTCGGAGTTTCTTTGGATTGACACAAGCAAGTGAAAACCTCTCTGATCTGGCTTCTGTGACAAGATGAAATGGATACAGCTGACTTGGAGACAGGAGAGGAGTGAAAGCAGGTAAAGCACAGATGTGGCATTTACAGGTTTTAAGTGTACATCTGATGACAGTGAATTCTGGGGAGGGTAAAATTAGTAAACTGTATTTGTGATGGGAGGGTAAAAGCTACTTTAAGACACAATTTCCTTAAATCTGCTCTTCTGCATGCTTATGCATGTTATAGATGAACACACAGACCATCTGCCTCTGGCTTTCTCTTACCATAGTAACCAGTTAGCATCCCAGTCCACTCAGTGACCCAATTCTGTCCAACTTGACACCAAAACAGCCCCTGGAGAGGCCCTTTTTGCGTCTGCCTCGGTATCTATGAGGTAGACTTAGCAGGTCACTGAAGAACCTCTGGACAGCACTATCCGCCATGGACATGCTCTCAGGCTGGTCCCTGGTGTTTTGGGTCCACTGGAATTCAACGTCTTGCTGATCAAAGGCGTCTGTTGGGACTATGGCATCTTGCTCATGGTCCCTCTCTTCTGAGACCAGGGGATGCTCCAGGTCCGCATCGAACAGTTTGGACAGACTCTGGAAAAAAAGGGAAAAGTGTAGATGGTTGAGAGGGAGGGGTTCTGGGAACTGTCATTATTTGCATATAAGCCATGCTCGCTACGAAGTTTGGAGAAACTTGTTTTGAACATTTATCAAAAGATGAAAGTACTGAAGTGATTTCTGAAGCTGATGATGATTATCTTTTAGTTTTTTCTGGTTCACCAAGCTGCTCTGAGCTAACACTGTATGTCTTCTCAAAATGCTCTAAGGCTTTATGCTGTTACTGTTACTGTGTTCTGACAAACTGCCAGTTCAGCCTTTCCAAATTCCAAAAAATGATGAAAGAGGCTTGGTCAAGAGTGAATAAGTAACAAGAAAAAATGGTTGATGTCTTGGAACAATAAGAGAAGCAATGCAATGACAGGAGATGTGCTGAAATTTGAGCGATAAGGATTATATATTTATTTACAGATTGGGAGGTTACTTCTTATTTGGGAATCCCTAGTTAGGTGGCTGAAATGCATTTTCTTAATGACTTGGAATTCCTGTGCACACAAATACATACACACA